GGAGCTACGGAAAGAGAACTTGGAGGGAAGGTTCATAACAACATCGTTGACGCGTCTTGACACTGATCCTTCTCCCCCTCTTGCTCCGCCTCCTCCTCCTCCTAAAACTCTTCCTGTTCACCCGTCTCACCCTTTTTCTTCCTCCTCCTCCTCCTCCTCCTCCTCCTCCTCCTCCTCGTCAACATCATCACCACCACCACCACCATCATCACGATCACCGTGACCATCACTATCAACATCATCAGTATCACCATCACCATCACCATCATCACCAGCATCATCATCATCATCATCATCATCATCATCATCATCATCAGCAGCAGCATCATCAGCATCATCATCAGCAACTCGGCATCATCGTCATCAGCATCACCACCATCAGCATCATCATCAGTATCAGCATCATCAGCATCATCATCATCATCAGCATCAGCAGGATCAGCATCAGCATCCGCATCAGCATCATCATCCGCATCAGCATCAGCATCATCAACAGCATCGTCATCAGCATCATCATGAGCAGCAGCATCATCATCATCATCAGCATCAGCATCAGCATCATCAATATCATGACCATCATCATCAGCATCAGCATCAGAATCGTCATCAGCAACAGCATCATCATAATCAGTATCAGCATCGTCAACCGTATCATCATCCTCATCGTCATCATCATGATCATCATCGTCATCATCATCTTCATCACCAGCATCAGCATCACCATCATTATCATCTTGCGCAACAGCATCATCATAATCAGAATCAGCATCATCATCACCATAATAATCATCAGCATCATCAACATCGTCGTCATCGTCATCGTCATCGTCGTCCTCACCATCATCAACAGCCGCATCCTCATCATCAGCAGCATCGTCACCATCATCAGCAACTGCAGTTTCAGCAGCATAGCCAGCAGCATCATCAGTATCAGCATCATCATCACAGCATCATCGTCATCATCAGCAGCACGAGCAGCATCATCAGCATCATCATCATTATCAGCATGGTCATCACCATCAACATCATCATCATCAGCATTATCAGCAGAATCAGCATCATCAGCTGCAGCCTTAGCATCAGCAGCATCATCCTAATGTCCATCGTCAGCAGCATCACCATCGCCATCATAATCACCAGCATCATCAGCATCATCAGCATCAGCATCATCAGCATCAACATCAGCAGCATCAGCAGCGTCATCATTAGCATCAGCACCATCATCATCATCAGCCGCAGCGTAATCATCAGAACCAGCAGCATCATCAGCATCAGCACCAGCATCAGCAGCACCAGCCTCATCATCCTCACCATCATCAGCATCAACATCATCAAACTGTTGTTCCTTCTCCTCTTCCTTCTCCTCCTCCGCCTCCCCCGCCTCCTCCTCCTCCTCAGCATCATCATCATCCTCCTCGTCCTCCTCCTCCTCCTCATCCTCCTCTTCCTCCTCCTCCTCCTCCTCCTCCTCCTCCTACTCTTCATCCTCCTCCCCTCCTCCTCCTCCACCGCCGCCGCCGCCGCAACCGCCGCCTCCTCCTCCTCCGCCGTCTCCGTCTCCTCCTCCTCCTCCTCCTCCGCCTCCTCCTCCTCCGCCTCCGCCTCCGCCTCCTCCGAGTCCTCCTCTTCCTCCTTCCTCCATCCTCAGCCTGCTCCTCCTCTCTTCTTTCCTCCTCCTCTTCCACCTCCTCCTCCTCCGCCTCCGCCTTCCGCCTCCCCCTCCGCCTCCGCTCCTCCGCTTCCTCCTCCTCCACCTCCTACGCTCTCCCCCTCCTTCTCCCCTCCTCATCCTCTCCTCCACATCTCTTCCTCCTCCTCCTCCTCATCCATCCTCCTCCTCCTCCCCGCTCCTCCATCCCTCCTCCTCCTTCTCCGCCTCCTCATCATCCACCACCTCTCCTCCCTCCCCCCCTCCTCTTCCAACTCTTCCTCTCCTCTTCCTCCTCCTCCTCGTTCTTCTCCACCTCCTCCACCTCCTCCTCCTCCTCGTTCTCCTCCTCCTCTCCTCCTCACCTCCTCATCCTCCTCCACCTCACCCTCCTCCTACTCCCATCGATCGGCCGCGCCGAGATCGCAACCGACGCCTCCTCCTCATAACCTACCCGACCATTCTCCTTCTCCTCCCGTCCTCCTCCTCCTCCTCCTCCTCCTCACCTCCCTCCTCCGCCTCCGTCTCCCTCCGCCTCCGCCTCCTCCTCCTCCTCCTCCCTCCTCCTCCTCCTCCCCTCAATACCTTCCTCCTCTCTCTCCTCCTCCTGCCTCCCTCCCCTCCTCCTCCTCCTCCTCCTCCTCCTCCTCCTCCTCCTCCTCACCTCCTCCTCCTCCTCCTCCTCCTATTTCTTCTCCTCCTCCCTCCTCCTCCTCCACCTCCTCCTCCACCTCCGCCTCCCCTCCGCTCCGCCTCATCCGCTCCCCTCCTCCTCGTCCACCTCCATCTTCATCATGATTCCACGTCCTCCTCCTCATGATTCCACGTCGTTTCCTTCCTCCCTCCTCCTCCTCCTCCCCTCCTCCTCCTCCTCCTCCTCCTCCCTACCTCCATCCTCCTCCTCCTCATCCTCCTCCTCCTGCCCCCCCCCCCTCTCACCCCTAGTCCTCAGCGTCCATCTCCTCTTTCTTCCCCATACCCTCCGTTTTCCTCCCTCCTGCCTCCCCCACATACACACACACACACACACACTGCCCTCCTCCCTCCCTAAGCGGGCCCTGGCTCCTCGCCCGACCCGTCCCACCGCGCCGCGCCAGCGCACAGGAGGCTCATGCCTGCGTCGGCGACGACGACGACGACGACGACGACGACAACGACGGCGACGGCGACGGCGGCGGCGGCGACGGCGGCTGCGGCGACGACGAGAAAGGGGGGATGGGGGGAGGGCGGAAAAGAGGGCTGGAGAGGGCCGAAAAGGGAATGGGGAAGCTAGGAGGAGAGGGGGAGAATGACGGGGAGACAGGGGGGAGGAAAGGAAGGAGAGCGGGGGGGGAGGGGAAGGGGGACTACGGGAGAAGAGCCAGCAAGCCTCATGCCCCCTTCCCTTCCTCCATCTCGTTTCTCCGTTTTCCCCCTCGTCTTCTTCAACCCCATCCCACTCCTCATCTCCTTTTCCCCTTATCCGTCCTTCTCCCGAGCATGTCTTTCCTCCATATTTTCCTCCCTCCTTCATATTCCCAAAGCCCTTGTTCATCGTTCCCTCTTCCTTTTTCCCTCAGCTGTTCCGTCCCCCTTTTCCCTCGTCCTTCCTTCATTCCTTTGTCCCCCTCCTCGTTTTCCTTCTCCTCCCCCTGCCCTCTCCGATCTCGCTTGCCCTCCCCACGCGTGCGAAAACGCGGGCGCTCTGCAATGGGCGAATGGCCTGCGAGGAAGTTGAGGCCCTGCGGATAACCAGTCAGCAGACCTGCGGGGAGCGGCGTGTCGCGGGGCAAAGGAACAGACAAAGGTTGAATATACACATGTCTATATTAATATATATAGCTATATTAATATATGCAGTATATACACATAGATATATATATATATATATATATATATGTATACACGTATATGTATGTGTATATATATATATATATGTATATGTATGTATATTCTATATTGTACATAAATACTATAAACATATTTATATATAGCCATCCACATACACACATACATGCGTGCATGCATACATACATAAATGCATGTATGCATGCATATATATACCTATATACATATACATATATACATACACGCTCGTATACCTCCGCCGCCGTGCGCATCTGGGCACTGAGTGGGCGTGTCCTCCGGTCGTTTGCCTAACCCCTGGAGCCTCAATCCTCAGCCCTGAGGAATATGTAGGCGCCCTGGACCCCACATTCCAAAATCTGTTGAGGGTTGGCGCGTGCCCCCTGGACTGCCCCGCGGCTTGTCGCGTGACATGTTCGGGCCCAGGAGGGCCCCGAGATGGGCCAAGAGGGCCCCAAGAAGCCCCGAAGACGGTCCAAGAGGGCCCCGAGTCGCCGAATGATGGCTCCACGACGCTCAAGATGGCCCCGAGACGGCCCAAGAGGCCTGCAAGACGCCCTAAGGGGCCTCCAAGAGGCCTCCCAGGAGGGCCCCGAGAGGCAAAATCCCACCAGCCCTCTGGGCGACAGGTGGTCTAACGAGGGTCTCTTTCCTCTTCCACTACCCCCAGTCCCTTCGGGGAGGGGAACCCTCGCCCTCCCCTCCCTGGGTTTTTTGAGGAAGGGGCCCGATGTGTCAGAGGGTCCTTCTTCGGTCCCTGGGAGTGTCACTCTCTGACACCCCTCACGAGGATCGTGGCCCCCGACGGGGGGAGCTACATCGAGGACCCCCCCTTTTCTTGACCGACCACCTCAAAGATGGCCCCCAGAGGCCCTCCCAGGGCTTCCAAGAGGCCCCCAAGAAGGCTCCAAGAGCGCCCCAAAACGCCCCAAAAGGCTTCCAAGAGGCACCCGACAGGCACCCAGGAGGCACCCGAGCGGCCTCAGAGAGCCCAAGATGACCTCCAAGATGGCTCAAGATAGGCCAAGCTGGCTCAAGATGGTTCCCAACATGCTCCAAGAAGCCCCAAGACCGTTCCAAGACGGCCCGATATGGCAACGGAGAAACTGTTGGAACCTCCTGTAGCATCCAGAGGAGAATATGTACCCACGAGTCTGGCCACCGATCGAGACATCCTCAAAATCTCGCCCACCTGGGGGGTGAAAATGAGCGCCTCGCTCGAGACATCCTCCAATTCTGCTCCGAAAGCGAAGGTTGCTGGGACAGAAAACAAGCAAACCGCTTGAGACATCCCCACAAAACGGCCCCGAACGGGACCGTGCAATACCCCCCGGCGGCTTCCCTTAGGGACGTGAAAATGAGCGCCTCGCTTGAGACATCCTCCAAATCTGCTCCGAAAGCGAA